CATGTCGTGATCTTCCACAATCCTCCGTCGTCCTCGTCTTTGAGCAGCTGCATGTCGTACAGCGAACTCGCCGTATAACTCGTATCAGCCGCCACAAACGCCTCTTCCTCTCTCACATGGTACGAAATGACATGCGCCGTCATGCGCGCGAAGGTCGCATTCTCGCTCTCCGCTTCTATTCTCACATTGCTCACGGTATGTGTGGTGATGAGGTTGAAGACGCGATCTAACAATGGATTGATTGCGTCGAAGCCTGTGACAGTTTGTTGGGCGCCCAGCGGCCCGTAGGTAAATGTCATCTGGGGGGTTTTGTGACAGGCGGACTCTACGAGGGAGCGGTCGTTGCTGTCTAGGCCGAGGGTCAGGCGATGGAGGGTGTCGGTTATGGATTGGTGGGTTGTGAGGTTGGGTAGGTTGACGGTGGGAGTGGGGGCGGACATGTTTGGGATTGAGTCAATGAGGTTTGTTGGTTGACTGCTGTTGCTTCTTCTGGTATTTGAGTCGTATGCAGTCTTACCTTCTCTCTACAGCTTATATACGTAGTTGTTGCTACAGCATACCATACCTAGGTAGGACGGGGCGTATCCATGCCGCGGACACAACGTGTCAGTATGGAGTTATCGGGCTTACGACGCTGGTTCACACCAGTTCAAGCAGAAAATGTGGAATCCATCGGATTTAACAGAGATAGCTGTATCTTTTGGCATAGTAGGATTGCAGAGTTCCGAGTCTCTCCTGCGACTGGTATATATATCGGTGGTTCAGTGCTCCGTCTTCGGCGGCTTCCGGGAACGCCTTGCACAGCCACTTTCTGCCTGCAGCTCCATGCGTCACGCGCCTGGCTTGATTACAACGACTCAGTTCTGTGATTACGAGAAGGTATGGTTCTTTGAGTACGAGCAGAGCCGCATATCCGGTGAATGCTTCACTTGGTTGTGAGCTTGTGATTTTGCATACCGGTCGGTTCAGTCGTGTAGGCAGTAGAAACCTTGGAATGGAGGCGCGAGGCAGACTGTGACCGGATGGAGGCTGAAGACGACGGTCAGTTTCTTGCGCCTTGGAAGTTATTCTGCAACTGCGTGATGTGTGGAATCATGTTCTCTATTATGATATAGGGTTGAAAGGTTGGTGAGGCACGTGGTGAGGTGGCTGCAGCCTGTGTGGCTGTGCTAAGTGCCGTTTACCGCTGTTCCGGAGGCTGCCGGTCGTGCGAAGAGGGGAGGTTTTGAAGTAGACATGGGCGCGAGGTAGTTGTATGTATTACGATTATATGAGGATAGGTGTATGATGTTATTGAAGGGTCGTGTTCTATATTTGCATGTGGGCAGGTAGCGGCTTCCCAAATCTGCAGATGTACAGTCGATGCACCACAAACCATGGCCATAATATGGCATATAACTATTGGATCTATACAAGAAAAGAATCGGCCAGGTACCATGAAGTCATAGTGCAACTGTGCAGTAGCATCATGGCGAATGCTGCTATTTTTCGCTCAGACAAGGGTTTAGAAGATGCTAGAGGGAACTATGATGCTTGATACGACACTTCGATAATACAGGTACAACACTCGCATGTTCACACGAGCAAATGCGATGAAGATGACTGTGTCGTGACGATACTTCCAAGGAATAACCCAGATATCTCAGCAAGGCGAAGATGTGCGAACAGGCGGTGGGCGTTGAACAGAGGACGGGAAGCGAGCAAATAGGGCTTTACCGGCGGTGGGGACAGTGCAGGGCGAAGGCGCGAGGAAGCCGCGACCCGCAATTCACAGACGGCTACATGCGTCACCTAGCATCTTTGTACATCCAACATGGCCGTTGTTGCCGCGCTATGTAAACCTGCCCTCTCCGCTATCTTCGTCTTGTTACTCTTGAGGCCGCCCTAGCTAGTTGCCCAAGCTGCATGCTCGCCAAAGCCACTGCCTAGTCTCTCACTGCTCGCCTGACCATCGCTCACGTACGCCCATACATGTCTTACGAATACGACAGCCGGTACCACCACCGCCCGCGCCATGACTCGCACTATACATCAAGAGAGACGGACCCCTACGGCTATGCGAGGAGCGATAAGACTCTAGCTGAGGCGCGCGAGCAGCTGGCAGACATGCGCCAGAGCAATCCATACACATCGTCCTACACTCCGTCCTACAACACCTACACCTATGAGCCCCGCACTTCTCCACCCCTGCCACCTCGACGACCCGCGCCGCATTCGTACAGGTCGCACAGGCAGGAGCAGACATGGCCGCCGTCACCGAGCGTCGAGGACGAGAGGGAGGCGCTAGCAAAAGAGGCGCCGTCCTCCGTGGGGTCGTCAGGGCAGGCCGAGGGTGAGCCGCCGAGCAACACGCGGGGCACCGTCGACCAAGACTCCCTGCTCGACGAGATTGAGCAGCCGAGCGTCGCACAAGACGACCGCCGCTATGTGCTTGTTTCCGAATCGAGCACCGATGACGATGGCAGCACGCTTCGGGACCGGCGCCGGCGCAGCTTTGCTGACCGTGGGGGCATGTCGCACATCAACACCGACGTCCCAGACCCTCCCGTCTTTACTGAGCGCGTGAGGGCGCCCTATGGCTACTCGAAGCCCCAGAAGGAGTCTACCGCGCCCTCGCCTGCAGACTACATGCGCTCGCCAGAACCAATCACGCCTTCGAACAGCAGCCATCCCAGGCCAGATGCGAGCAGACCGTCGAGACCGATGCCAACTGAAAGCCGACACAATTCCTACACGTCGCCGGCGTCAAAGAAAGAATACGTGTTCGACTCTGACTCTGACTCCGAAGCGCACAGCACGACCCACCTGCGAACCGAACGAAAGCCCGCGCGGTACAGCTTCGTGAAGAGCGACCTGCAAAGGGAGGACCTGAGGACAAACCTGCGCGATACACAGGAGAGGCCCGAGCCGCGTCGACACGACTCCGGGCAGCGTCCTCTGCCGACGATACGTAAGGGTGATTCGTCAGGCTCGTACAAGGAGTACCCCAATGCTGAGTCGCCGCGGTCGTCTTCGTCTTCGGTGCACAGCACGCGGCGATCGAGGCCTGTGCCCGTAGATACTGTCTATGCTAACAGCTCACGCCCGCTGTCCAGACCAAGCTCGCCATCGTATCGAGCGCCCTCGCCTCAGCTGCCTACCCGACTGCGAGACTCCCCTCCAGGCTCTCGACCATCGTCCCGCGGTGGCCCTCGGCCAACCTCTCCGCTCGCTTCTTCGTTCCAACCTTCTTCGCCCGGCCGCGGTCGCGGACCCGTATCCGAGTCAGATTGGCACTCCACCTATCCTCCAGCACCTTCCGACGACAGGTCAAGACAACCCTCTCGATATGGCCGACATGACACCATGCCACTCCCGAGGCCTCGCATCGATGTGCACAGTCCATCTCCCGCGAGGCAATCCACAGGCGACTCTTTGCCATATCCCATTGACGACCAGCTCATTGACGTCTTTATGCCACCCGAAGAGCACTATCAATTCGATCATTCCACCGTCTGCTCACCGAGGCAAAGCTACGTTGACATCCCGAGAGCGACGTCGCCGGCAATTCCTAGCTCGCCGTACACGCGAGATCTACCTTCCCGGGCTAGGAGGCAAGACACAGAGACATTGGAGGAGCCTTCACGACCAAGGAGGTCCAGGTCGGGTAGTTTCCGCTCTCACGATGGCCGCCGTGACAGGTCATCTCGAAGGACTGCTTCAATGGACAGAAAACTTCCAGACTGCCCAAGACCTTACAAATCTGGGCCTTACGATGATTGGTACGCGCTCCAAGACAACAAGAACTTCAACATTTGCCCTAGTTGTTACGAGGGTGTCTTCGCCGGTACACCCTTCGACGTGGACTTCAAACAGGTATGGCTGAACGACTATTCGTTGGAGCGGAGCTGTGATTTCAGCAGCCCATGGGCACGTCTTGCGTGGCTGTTGACGCTTCAGCGAGGTCGCAAATCGCTCGATCTGATCAACGCAATTGCAGGTGTCATGGACACAGTAGCCAAACCGTGTCCTGGAGATCGTGAGGCTGGTGCAGAAGACCGCATTAGCTGGTACGGCATTACAAACCCACGCGACGGTACCCGTGTAGCCAACTTTGCTATATGCTCGAGCGATAGGAGGATGCTTGAGGCCTTGCTGCCTTCTCTTCGTGGTTGCTTCGCTAAGATGCCGAAGGACGACAGGCACGTATGCAGCTTGCGTACGAGCTCAACCCGCTTCCCAAAGTATTTGGATCTGCTCGTCGAGCTAGATGTCGAGGCTGAGTTGTCCGGTCAACTCCCTGATCTGAGCCGCTTCGTCCTATTGCTCCGCGAGAATTCCTACAAAGGCGAGTGCCAAAGGTACAAGATCTTGTTCCGCAAACCATGGCACTTCATCCCTTCGCTGCCAGAGTTCACAGTCTGTGAGCAATGCTACGACGAGCTCATCTGGCCCGCCACACAATCCAGATCCACGTCATCGTCCATACCGCACATGTTCAACAAGTCGATCCAGCTAGTCCCTGGTGAAGATCCTGATGTCGGGTCCAGCTGCTGTCTGTGGAGTCCAAGGATGCGCGACGTCTGGAAGGAAGCTGTCAGATACGACGACTTTTCTTACCTGAAGGACACAGCGAAAGAGAGAAAGAGGGCAGAGTCCAAGTATATGAAAAACAGAGTACGCATCATGACGTGGATGGGCGACGCGGAAAAGGGGACTAGGAAGTGGAAGGAAGCTGAGGATGCGATGAGGGAGCTAAAAAAGAGTTGGTATACTTACGAATGATGAGGTTATGATTGGAATGGGATATGTAGAGTCAATGAGAACATGGTTATTACTATTACTGCTACTACCGCTTTGTTGGTACGATAATTACCTTATCTTTGGTACCGAGTGTGGATTTGAAAACTGGCTTTGATTTAACTCCCACGACTTTGCAAAACCACATCCCCATTCCAAACTGCCTTATATGAAAAATGAATTTCCTTGAGATTTATTCCCTCGATATTGAAGCCGCTAGAATGCGTAGCGAGGATTTCTCGGCGATGAATTCCTCTATGATACCACACCTTGGGTCCTCGTCAAACCCCTCCCAAAGCTACAACTCTGACGATCGGGTACAAACCAAGTAAAATTGCACACTCGTCCCAGCGCTTTACCGCAGTACCACTAACCTACAACCCAGAGCGCCCCAAGAAGAAGAAATGCCAACACCCGGCGAACGTCAGACAACCGTCGCCAAACCCCCCCTTACGCGGGATCAATACCGCATACGCAAGTTGACTAAGGAGAACGCGAGACTCAAACACGAAGTCGAGGAAAGGGATAACAAAATCTCTCGGTTGCAAGAGTTTCATCAAGCATTGGAGAAAGACTTGGCCGATGAGAAGGAGCAGGGGCTGGTCTGGAGAAAAGAATCGGGTACTGAGAGCTGGCGAGCGTGGCGGTTGAGTACTGAGTTGTCTAATATCAGGGACAGACTCGAATTCTTTCGTGGGTTGGCTGATGACAAGGTTTTATGGCCTGATGGAGACGAGACCGAGGACGAGGATGACGACACTGAGGAGGAAGATGAAGAAGATGAGGATGACGAAATTGAGGAAGCGTAGGAATATGAAGAGGGCTAGATGAGAAGGCGCATAAGGAGGAGAAAGATGTTGGGATCAGGAGTGGATGTCGCTGGCGTTCGTTTGCGCCACAAACAGGAGACGAAGCTGATCAGGTCGACAGACCGCGGTAGTATCATTTGATGCGAGCTCCTCTTTCGAACAAACACAGTCTGTTGGTGTCGCAAACACTCACTGCTCATTCAATGTGTTTCGCGAAATGTATATAGGCCAGCGACCTGCACTTCCACATTGACACCTACATGTGTATCCTCCACCATCTTACAGTCTCCCTTCGTAACAAGCGCTGCATCGATATCGCTAGTGATGTCGCCGACGCCCGTTTGCAGAGCAGACAGGGGTCCCAGGTACGCAACTCGCCACCCTCTCCTTTCACTACAACAGAATCAGCGGAAGAACGTGTCAGCTGACCGCAAATCTAGTTTTTCCGTCGCCTACGGATTGTGCGCCCACGGACCTTTTCGTTGTTTTGACGACTTTTCGCAATATCCCCTGTCTCTTCTTGCTTTCTCCATCGCACTCGTTTGTATATTGACGCCCGTATACACAACACCACCGACATCATGGACAGCCCGAACGACAACGACGTCAACATGGGTGATCTTCCCGACACCGGAGTTAGCGTAGACAACGTAGACAACGGCGTCGAGTCTGGGGACATCGTCTTCTTTACCGAATGCGAGAACGTCGCGGAGCACAACGTTGACGTCAACCGCGAGCGCGACGGCGACGTCGCCATGGACGACAACGCTGAGCCTGAGCATCCGGATGTTGTGGAAGTCAAGGCTCTGCATCGCGATGCTGAAGAGAAGCTTGCCACCAAGACGTACAAGGTTAACAAAGGCATCGTCCTCCTGCCCTCTCTCTACAGCATCTACTTCCATCCCGACGAGGCAGTCGTTCCTCAAGCTCCTCCGTTCCTCCAACTCACCACCTTCTTCCTCTTGTACAACGACATCGCCAAGGCCAACTTCCTCGCCGACAAGAGCTTGCCTCTCATCGTCAATCAGGCGATCTTCTTCTATGGTCTAGACAAGGGCCATTCGTTCTCGCGGTTCTATGACCAGATCCGGTTCAACATCCTCCTGATGGCATTCGCGTGGGCGTCAGGATTCGATCCGAAGTACTGCAAAGAGGGGTGCGAGGAGTTTGTCAAGGTCTTTCTGCGTGTAAGTCATCTTCCCGATAGCACTACCTGTCCATCTTCAGTGTCTTTTTAAACTTCCCACAGAGGTTTAAAATATACTGAAACCCTCCTGGCCTCCTCATGCCCTATGCACACAGCTAATAAAACATAGGCCTGGATTGAATCACTGGTCTTCAAGTACGACCCTTTGCAAAACAACTTCACCCAACGCGAAGCCTTCGTCGCCCTATGGCAGAACTCGCCCTTTGACTTCCACTTCTTTAGTCCGAGGCGAAGCAAGACGGTAAACAAGCTTGTCAACATTCTCAAGGCCCAGGCCGGATTCCTCCCGAACATGCCGAAACCGGACGACTTCATGCGGGCCGTGCGCCAAGGCCATCTGAACGAAGACATCTTTGAGAGATTCGGTGCGGCGATGACGTTGCAGTGGCTGATTGGTCTGAACGAGAGGTCCGAGAAGCGGCAGCAGAAGGTTGACGACAAGGAAGAGCTCGCCCAGGCGAACTTGGACCTGAAGCGGACTAAGGAACTTGCGGGCAATTTTGCGGCGGCCCAACATTTCGGCTTTTTTTCCAAGGACTATCAGCCGGCTGACGATTTCGACCCCTTTGATGATAAGGACTTGATGCATCCAGGCATGTCCAAGGTTGATCGGGATGAGAAGCTCTTGGCGGCCTTGCTCCTTCCCATCGACAAGGACGTCAAGCATCCAAGTGAGGTGAACGAGAAGGAGCATCGCGCGGTTGATCAGACGAGCTTCTGGGCGACTCATGAGCAGGTTAGGACCATTCTTCAGGAGGATGTGGAGAAGCCGGATCAGAGCCGGGCCCTCGCTGAACTGACTGTGTTGATGAACACCACGGTGATGGGGCCGACAGCTGAGTAGGTCGCGAGGAGGTTTGAGGTATACATGTACTTCTGCTAGACGTCTATAGAGAGCAGTTACGTTCTGAGGATATTCAGCCTTCGTCATGTCTGATGGATGTAACTCTTGTTGATGTGATGTGATATGCAAAAGTTATATTTACAACTTGGCGCCAACGACGCTACCACCGTCCAATGCGATAGTCGCGCCGTTAACATAGGACCCCGCGCGGCTCGATAGCCAAATGCAAGTGCCCGCAACATCCTCCGGGCTGCCGATGCGTCCCAATGGTATCCCGCTCTCAATGACATGCTTGAACTTCTCCAATGTAGCCTTCATCATCTTGCTCTGGAAGGGACCGCACGCGATCGTGTTGCTTGTAATTCCGCGCTTGCCCAGGTGGCTCGCTAGCACTCTGCTCATGTGGTGAAGACCGGCTTTAGAAGCGGAATAGGCGAAAGTCTCGAGCGCGGGGACGCGCAGGCCGTCGACGCTGCCGATGTTGATGATGCGTGCTGGTGAGCTCGGGGTAGAAGCGGCTTCGAGGAGGGGTGTGACGGCTTGCGTGAGCTGGAAGACGCGCTTTAGGTTGAGGTTGAGGACACGGTCCCATGCTGCGGCGGGATAGTTATCGTACGACTCGCCCCAGTTGCTTCCACTATTGTTGACGATGACATCGAGCTCTGTACATTGTTAGCGAAGTCTCATTGTCTCGCTACCATGGTGCAGATGACAGCCCACGGGAGGACCTACTGCCTGCTCTCTTTTTCAGCTCGTCGGCTATGTTCTTTGCTGCATCTTCCTTGTATAGATCGGCTGCGATGAAGTCGGCCTTGCCTTTGCCGAGGGCATTCAATTCCTTGCACGCTTCCTCGCAGGCTTTGGCGTCGCGGGATGATATGTACACTGTAGCGCCGTTCTGGACGAAGCCCTCGCTGATCATGCGACCGATACCTTTCGCGCCGCCTGTGACGAGGACGATTTTACCCTTGATGAGAGTCAGTTGGAAGATCGGACGTGCGGGTGGATTATGTGCGTACCTTAACGTCGAAGAGTGAGCTGTTGTCCATTTTGCAAATCGGTATAGGTTGGACGAAGGGTGGAGGCGTCGTAGGGAGAAATATGGAGAGCCATCGCGACACACGGGTACATGTTCGCCATCGGAGCTTGCCCCGGATGTTGGAAGCTGGGGGTGAGCCGAGGCTCGGTACATTGTTCTTCCGCACCGCTCCGCAAATTCAAGCCTCACATCGACAAAACATCATGGAGTCTGGTCATCCTCAGCTTATTTTCATCTTTTCTTGGTATCTTCATCTAGTCCGCCCATCAACCTCGACGTATTATTAAACATCAGACATGTCTTTAAGGGGTACTCGTGTACGACAGGCACCGCTGTGCTCTAGGTTAATTTGGAATTGATTATGTGTGTAAGCGTCAAAATGCTCTCGTCTAACTCTATTAATCCCTTCCGTTATCTTGACGATGTCCTGGAAGACCTGTTAGCGACAAGGAATGTACTCTTATCAACCTCAGGACAGTCTTTCTCGCGTACCTTCATGGCGGAAGTGCTAAATTGACAGGAAGTGGAGGAATACTACTCGCACTTACACCCACCTAATACCGTGGTATATGGAAATCAAGTCGAACGTAGCGAAAAAGAAAGAGAGGGGCAAAAAGAACACTATCGCGCGAAAAGGCGCAAAAAAGAGCAAAAAAGGGACGGCCATCCAGATCATAACAAAGGCCACCACTGGAATTCGAATCCGCAGAAGATCAACTGTCAGCTAACCGATCCAACACCCAGACTCGAACTCAGGCCATTACATACGGACCTGTGAGACCGTGATGTAAGACGTGCGCTTGGTCCCAATGACCCAATGCCTTATGTTTTGATGGAAGATTTCTAAACTCCATATAATATATAGTACAATAAGACCGCAACCAGCGATATATACTACCAGGATAGACATGGGAATCTCTAAGGTTGTTGGCGGGCAGGTGAGTGAAGGGGCGCGTGTAGGCGGTGGCGGAGCGGGCTCAGTGAAGGGTCGAGTGAGTGAGCACGCAATAGAGAGTCAGTGCGGCCTTTCACCATCTGATGATACCGGAGATAGTGAGATAAACCGCGACGAGAATATCATCAAGACGTCTTTCCTAGGAGCCTACTTGCAAACGTGTAGTACTCGACTCATGACCTCTGGCAGAGACTAGAGACTACAGGACTTGTACGGACGCCGTCGAAACAACCTTCACGAGCCTTACATCACACACACCAGTATTCGCAGGTGGGAAGTCGAGACCTTCGACAGTGATTGAATAGACATTCTCACGATCGAAAAGCTTGCGAAGCCAACGCAGCACATGTCGCCTTCCATCCTTGCGCAAATGTTCAGTCCGACTGCCCGGTGTATCCGATTTTGATCAAAGAATTACGAGACGATTATCTGTAGCTGCCCGCGCATTCTTTCCAGCCTAGGAGAGCATGAGGTCATAAGAGTACCGTTCGTGATAAGGATAGACGGTCCGGTCGGCAGCCCAGTAGCAAGTGACATGGGCATCTTCAGGATTGTTGCTGGGGCGAAACAGACGTAGAAGAAATCGGAGCGGTGCAAATGTGTTCCAGTGATGCCTGTGGCACTGGGGATTGTCGAGCGCATAATCTAGTCGCTGATGACTTCTGACGCAACGCCGGAACGAACAATTAGTCGAAAGACTTACCCGACAAGATACCTAATACTAGCATGCTTAACAGGTCGTACAAAAGTACCTAGGTTACGATACCTTCGCAACTGTCACTAGACGCTGCGTTTGGACGTCTTGAGAACACAGTCAAGACTGTGTTCGAGTATAAGAACCTAACAAAGAGAGCAATTCTAGTAATACAAACAACCTTCTGGAGGTAGTATGGCAAAGCTGCTCGATTTCATGTCAGGTTACAACGGGCATAACTAGGCTCACATCGCAACCAGATGTAGGCAGAGCCAACGAATGACGTCATCGAAGCCAGCCCTGGAGTGCAAAGTCGCGCGCAACGCGGATACATGCAGGAATTTAGTACATGTATTGAACATCAGCTCCGCGTCGAATATACGGTAAAGGGTACTGTACATGCAGCGAGACGCAATGTTGATGGGGTACCAGATGGCCGGTTCGCTGCCCAGGTGATGTACATGCCTACCTAGGTAGTCAGTCATATGCCCGTTGCGAAGATGTATTCCTTATTCCTACATAACAGGCAAGTCTCAAGTCAACCCAGCAAGCATGGCGCGGCTGAACTAGTCTACCAGGAAAAAGCATCCACATGCAAATCAAACACAGTCTTGCTGCCTCTCCCCAGACCTGCTACCAAAGCTCGCACCTCATCGCACATATCCGCAGGACCGCATACGACAACACCAACCTTCTTGTAGCCAAAATCAATCTCCTTTTGGAGCAGGTTCCTAATAGCGAAGCGCTGTCCGACGAAAACCTGCTTGTCGGCGACGTTTGCGATGGCCGTGCCCATCTCATCAACTAGAGCTTGATCTGACGCTTTGACGCTCCACGCCAACTTGACGTTTGGATGAATAGAAAGCCAGCCCAGCAGACCAGTGATACCGATACCACCTCCAAGCAACAACAAATGATCAGCCTCCAGAGCCTCGGTGCTGGCTGAATGTGGATACGGTCCGTCTAGGATTGTAAGCAGCCGAGCGTTCTTGTTCAACATCTTCGTTATGCCAGTCCTCTTCTTGATGATAAAAGACACCCCCGTCGTGCTTGCTGGATCTCTGACGTTGCGCGTAACACGAGTCACCTGCGCTTTATCATCAGGAGATTTTCCTTCGGCGTGACTGCCGTCCGATGTGGAATCACTCGAAGACGCCAGTGCTGGGGCATGCCTGTAGCTTCGGAACAAGACAGATGAGTTGATAGAGAAAGGGTGGTTCTCCCACGGTCGCAGCGGGTGCAGCGTTGGAAATCCAACGTAGCCAACATAGCCTGGCTTCGCCGCCCATCGCACACCAGGAAGATCAACTCGGACGTAATTGTCTCCCACTTCGGTGACATCGGCGTACTGCATGCCATTCTTCAGCACGCGTAGCACGCGGACAAGACGATCAAAGAACCATACTGCGATGGCAGCGTAGAGCCAGTTGTCGTAGAAGTTGTAGCCCCACTTTAGGATGACATGGTACCAGCAACCCACGATGACGAAGACAGCAAGTATTATATGAAGGATAAGGAAGACCTCGTAGGCGAGGCGGCGGAAATAGAGAACGCTCAAAACCAGCATAGCGCATGTCAATACAGTGGCGACGATACCCCACAACCAATACGGCTTGACGGACTCGACTGGATAGCTGCCTGATCCTTGGTAACACAGTAACAGTGCGATACTGTGCACGATGGCTTGGACGGCGAAGATGCGAGCGATCCAGCGGTGCAGCAAGAGGTACGTGCCGTAAGACCAATTGGTGATCCAGAGCAAGAAGTTGTTGCGGCTCGAGAAGAGAATGACAAGGGGCAGGAGACCATATCCAATGTGTCCAGTGCGATAGCCAATGTAAGAGAGCATCTCCGATTTCTTCGAGAAGCCCCATGGATGCGGCTGCGAACTACCATAGTTCACCGAGCTCAAAATGACGTTGAGAGCAAAGAAGAAGAATATGTACGCGGCTTGCCCGACAGTCGGTGCGTTACCGATGAGCCAAGGCAGTGGACGTACTTGGTACGAGCCGATTGTAGACGGATACACAAGATAGGGTCTGAGCTTGTCGAGTAAGCCAGTCGCGAACGGCAGCTTGCGAATGAGTGTGCACAGGATTGGAATGCTGAAGCCCAGGACGACAATGACAATACTAATTATATTTTAGAGAAACTCGTTGACTGACGGCGGCTCTACTCACACATATCGAGCTTGCAGCGCTTCAATGTGGTCGAAAAGCCGGTTGAAGTTGAACTGGATATCATAGCTGGCGTCGCTGATCACCATGGGCATGGTCATGACCTCGGTCGAGCTTGCATTGTACACCATAGTAGGCGTCGAGTTCCCGAGCTCTGCGAGCGACTCTGAGTAGGTCCACTTCGGCACAATGTCGGTGATGAGTTTCGTCGCCCAGAATTCTTCTCTTTTCCAGACTGGAGTGTCTGCGCCACATCTTGTGCTCATACAGTAAGCTATGGTCTCCAAGAAGGGTAGACTCTGTGCTTGGCAACTTGGTGTCGGCGCTCCGGCAGCCATGTCCATGTCCATGCCCATGTCGTGGCCATCAGAAGAGTCGGTCGCAGGACATTCGAGGCTGGCAGACGACACAGCATTGTAGCAAGAGAAACCGCAATTAGGGCTGTACCAGGAAAACCCGTACCCGGGAAAGTTGTTGGAAGTCAAATGCGAGCGAGCGACGGGAATCGCCGAAATGAGGAAGAGCCAAAGCAACTCCATGATGGTGTTGTCGACGTGGGCGCAAGATGCTCGGTGAGCCAGAGATATTCGAGGCAAAAGTCAGACCAGCTTATACCCGCAACCTAGTTCCTTTTCAGTCCCGACCTGCGACAGTTGTGACCCGTCTGCAATGCAGGCCTAGAAGCCGCATTACTCGAGCGTTCTAATGATGTGGTTCGCTAATGAGCAGGTTGTGAGAGGCTTTACAGCCATGGTCGAAAAGTGCTCGTTAGCCGCCAATGATGTTCTGATTGGCGGCGTCAAGCGCTCTAGCCTGCATGTGAGCATGTTTGCGTGGATTTTACCGGGAACGTGCAGCTCGAACTATTAGCTTAGATTATGGCATAGACTAAGTCTTAATTGATCTCCTTGGGGATTCGTTCTGTGGCGCATTACTGTAGACTTATTTCTTTGATTCGTGGTAGGTGCCGAGTACGTCGTGTGATGGTAACGCGGCTTGCTACCACATTCTAGGATACCCAAAGTCCAGCAGTCCGCATACTGCGCCGGGAAGATGTGTATGGCAGGGAGTTGGATATTGCTTTGTCAATTTCAGGTAGCTGGTTAGTACCATTCTCACGTTCTAACGCTATATGAGGGATGACACTGCGATGTGCATACAAGCATGAACCTCCACGGCATGCTACTGTGGCTTGACTATGGCAGTCTGGAAGAGACCAGCTCTAGGGATATATTGTTGTCATAAAAGTCGCGCGTTGGGTGTTTCTGGAACTTCCAAGCCAATCGAGCTAAGTTGGTGGACGGGCTGACGGGTTTTAATAAGAATCGATTTTGATAGGAACAGGTGACAGAAGTATGCTCTACATGGATCCGCGCCGACATGATGAGTTCGTGACCCGGGTATATGAAATAAGGAAACGCAAAGTATATCGTACAACGAAAGAGAACGCGCTAGCAACAAATGAAGACGACCCCTTTTTAAAACTAGGAAGCCCGCCTCCAATGGAGACCGAAACACCTGGTGATCTTGCTTCTAAGCTTCTAAGCTTCTCTTAGGAGGACTTCGGAATGACGATGGTGCCCGTTGGTGCCGACTGTATATTCAGCCTTTCGCATGATACGTGAGCCTTCACATAGTGCGTGTACGTCGCATCAGTGCGCGTTGTTGCTCGGTGTAGCACGACTGCACGCGTTGCGGTTGCGGAATCTCGTCGCCGTTCAAGCCGTAAGTCCAGGGTCCGGACGGGTGAACAGGGGCAGTAGAATTTCCGTGGCCGTCGATGAGGGGAATGGCAGAGTCCACTATGTTCGATCAGCATCTGGAGGTCGACTTCATTGTTGTGCGCGGAGGAGTACCTGTCGACACGGGACGAGAGCGGAAGGGAGATGTGCACAGCCCTCTTCGCAATTTCAAGCTAGGCCACGATAGCACTAGAGTGAGTGCGAAACCGAGAACAGCTACGCAAACCCCGATGAGCGTTAGCAGCGCTTCAATCGACAGGGTATGTGATTGGACAGCTGCCCCCGTGGTTGAGTCCCGCTGCGCAGCGTGTGGTATAACGGCTGCGTGGGAGGAGGAAATAATGTGAGCGCTCAAGAGCAGTAAAGTGCACGATGAATTCATCCTGGCATAGGAATCGGAGACGGATACGATTATTGACAAAGGTTGGAAAGTGTGCATCGTTGTTTGTGCCTCGAGTTTCTGTCCATGCCATCTTGTCGCGAATCCCGAGCTTTTGTATATACCCGTGTAACAACCCTGCCATGCTTCCTCGCTCTCACACTAGGCGGTGTTAAAAAAGATGTCGCGCTAACCGTGTCCGGCTTGGCCAACCTGCACTCAAGAGCCTGGCGCGCTGCACGTTAGCAGGAGATGCGTTTATTATATAGCCAGCGTTGCCTTCGGTTACGCACGGTCTTTCGGAGCAAACCTCGTAACGCAGCATGGCTGAAGTACTTCTCAACCCAGTGCCATGCTACAGCCAGTGTGCAAGTCAGTTGTTGCCACAGCATCTCGCAAGGGGTCTGGCCTAGTGATGGAGCGAAAGGAGAGTAGCCAGTCACGGGTACTGCCGCACCGACCTGGGATCAACGATAAGCGATGGAAACCCATCAGAAAATTTGGTTACATGCATGAGGTTGCCGTTGTTCGATCTCATCAAGACGTCCAGATTCAGTTCGTCTCCTCCTCATCAACCCACTCATCTTCCAGCCCAGTGACATCATCGTCATCGCTCGGCTCCTCATCGAACATCAACAGCAAGCGCAACAGCTCGTCTTGTGGTCTTTCGATATGCTGCGATAAATTGGCGAGTATTGGGTCTTCGACTTCGGTAGTCGCCTTATCGTCATTTTCAAGGCTAGGCGCGAGGCTGATGATGCGAATTGCTTTTGTCGGAAATATGCGTCCATTGCCTCCTTCTTCCCGTCGTTGACCGAGTGTCTATTATTGTTAGCAGTTGCATCCTCTTCACTTTGAGCGGCGAACTTACCGCGTATGTTGTCATGATAGCATCATCGAATAGCGCCATGAAGCTGACTGGCACCGCGAGCTGCGGCGCCGAGCTCGTGAGGAAGGAGTATGAAGGGCCCACTTCCTCAGCCTCGTCTCCAACACTGATGCGGTTTTCCCTACTAAGCGCAACTACATACACTCTGTTCTGAATCTCGAACATAATACGATGGTTCCGTGCAGAAAGCCATCCGCCCAAATCGAAAGTGGAACCATCAGACTCGCACTCCAGAATTTGACTAACACTTGCTAAGTTCTTCGACCCGTCCTCTAATGCCTTGCGGAGATCGGAGCAGACAAAGACACGACCCAGACGTGAGAAGCCTACAAAGAGATTGCTGCTGCGGTCCAGCATACCGGCACCCCACTCGTCTTCCTCGTTTGGGTCGCGAGACGCGTTTGGAAGATGGCCTTTGCCGAGACGTATAGGCGTTAGGCGGCTTTTGCGGGGTGCGGACGGAGGGAAGATACGTCGTGATGGGCGGCCATAGCGCAAAGCAGCCAGTGCTGCGTTCGAGGAAGGAGGGTCGGTAGGTGGTAATGGCTCGACATGGTATTTCTCCGTACATTGCGATGGCTGTAAGATTCCCAGAGCCTGTCCAGACTTCTTCTCATACACATGATAGCCACGCGTTCCCATGGAGTATACAACCACGTCCTCGTTCTGATCTAGATGACCAACTGCATCTTGCTCGATCTCCAGATGCGTAATTAGGTTTGGTGGGTTCTGCTTCATGTCGTATACAAAGCCCTGGCCCTCTACTGAGACCACAACCAGTGTCCAGTACGAGAGCTGGAATCCTCTTGTTTGGCAATCGTGATCCAGAACAGCAACGCGTTGGAACTCTCCTCTTGCAGTGCCCTCTTGATCTGTCCGCCAAATTTCAACTGCATCTCCTTCCCGATCAAAGGCAGCCATTCCGTCTTGATACTCCAGATGCGCATAGGGCCTGACGGCGTGATCCTCAGTCGTGTCTAGAGCTGAAGGCAGTTGCCATAAGATGCGACCCGTATCCATGTCTGATACGTACAAGCCGCCTGCATGAGATGTCGAGATGAAGATGCGGCGCTTGAAGTCAGCCTTGAATCTCCATACCGCATGATTGCCAACCTGCAAGATGGATTCGCGAGTGGTCGGTTGCGGTGAGTTCCAGTTTCGCTCAAGCAGCGTTTGTCGTTTACACAGGTCTTTCCATGATGTGATGTCATCAAAGAGCTTGGAGAAGCTGGTGTAGTCGTTGACAAACGAGAAGTCGCGCGCGCCGCCAGCTGGCTGCGAGGTCTTATGCGGTTGCGAAGTTTTAGTCGGCGACGAGTAGATGGCTTCTTGATGCGTTCCGTCGATGAACTGGTGCCAGGCGGGCGACACGGCAGTAAGCGATCCTAGGGCTGACACGGGCGTGAAGTCGAGGATGCGGAGCACGATCTCCGGAGGTAGGACCGTAAGCGGGTCCGGGATGGTGACGTTCATAGTCAATTCCTGTTACGGTGGTTGGGATGTTCGCGCGTTATGCTGGATCTCAGACGCGCTGTCACTCGTGTTCGCACAACAATATTGTTGATGGGTCAAAAGAAACAGCTTTCCGATGAAGTCATTGTGGAGAAGTCACGTTCGGACCCCGAGGAACATCCATCACTCTTGCACGGAAGTAGCACCAACACCACAACGTTCGCGATAGTCGCCATCGACTGCATACTGGGGCGCCAAATCAGCGACTTGTACTGATGGCAGATCTATGATTGACATTGATAATGGCATCGTGGGGCGCTCTTGTGGTCGCATTATCCCCGGAGGCGTACCTACATGGTAGCAATCGGCGCGTCTCAGCCGATACGAAGCCATGCCCACCTCAACACACACCGGAGAGATTGATAACGAATGCCAGCTTGATGACTATGAACACCATCCGATATGTGATAAGCAAAAGGTCGGCATTTTGCATCCGGTTAGGCCTCGATTGTGGAGATGCGGGCTGAGCCCGCATTCGCCAAGTCACTAGTAGCTTCGCCAACAGCGTGGTACTCATACCATGAACCAAAGAGGCATCTCTGTAGGCCTCGTTATCTGGGGTGTCGTACCAGCCTGAACTACGGCTCCGCCGAGATGTATATAAAAGCAACAACGGCGGCCGCAGATTCTGCAGGTGTGCTCTCCACCGACCGCTCATCATGGCGGGCCGTTTCCTCCTCTCCGGACTGCTGACCGCGGCTCTTGCGTCAATCTCCGCTTCGGCCGCTCCTGTTATCAAGAGGAACCCTTACAGCTTCGTTCTGGAGAACCCTTACGGCGATGCTGTCTTTGAGCTTGGGAATGTTTCTTATCTGGCCAATACCAAACACCCCAAGGCGAGTGCTGGCTTCTCAACCCCGGCCGGTTCTGCTACGTCGATTCCCATCACCGTCATCAAGACAAACGAGACGACTATCACGAAGGATGTCTTAGAAAGCGTGATATCGTCATATCTCGATGGCGACGATGTCTTCAGCCATGATTTCCTGGACGGACTGTACCTCTCTTCTGGCGTCAAGTCGACACTGGATGCCTCCGCTGTCGACTATCTTGCTTCTCTGAACACGAGCATACTTTTCATGGACGCCTCGGTGACTGCAGAGGCCTCGATGAGCAAGATGGTGCTCGAATCAGCTATCGACCTTCCAGCTGGACCATACCTCGCATCAGTCGAAGATGGCTCCGTAAGCTTTGCGACTGTATATCGGCTCTACCCGGATACCTACCGCACATTCCTGTTCGGAGCCTACGATGCGAATGATGGGCAGGAAAATCACAACCCGCTCGGTGTTTTCCTGCCCAAGTTCTGGGACCCCATGATTCCGTAGGTAGCCATCTGATCGTCTAAGATAACGAACTAACAGAGTATGCAGTGTTCCTTCACGCATATACTATTGGGGAGACGACAGGCCCTTGGCTGGAGAGCGCGTTGCAATCAAAGATCTGTACGATGTCAAGGGCTTGCAAACTTCTGGTGGCAGTCAGGCATGGGCTCGCATCACGCCCGTTTCGAATGGCACAGCGCCTTCAGTGCAGCAGATCCTCGGTCTCGGAGGTGTTGTCGTTGGAAAGCAGAAGCTCGCTCAATTCGCTTCCGGTGCCAATCCTTGGGAATGGCAAGACGAGCACTACCCGTTCAACCCGAGAGGTGATGGATGGCTCACGTGCTCAGCTTCTTCTTCCGGTGGTGGCTGCTCCGTTGCTGCGTACGATTGGCTTGACTACGCCATAGGAAGCGACACCGGCTCCTCGATGAGGCGACCGGCTGCAGTAGCCGGTGTATATGGACAACGTCCCAGTCAGGGCTTAATATCACTCGAGCGTGTCATCCCGTTGGGTGCTGCAACCGATACCGCAGGGGTCTTCTCTCGCGACCCCTACAAATGGATCAAATTCAGCAAGTCTTGGTACACACCCAGCCTCTACCAGAACTCATCCATCACTGGTCTATCACCGCTTTCCGTCCCAGACACAAACGCGTTCCCCAAGACCATCCTCTACCCCACGGATTACCTCCCGCTGAACAACTCCGCCGCAGAGCCAATCTTACAAGACTTCATTGCGAATGTGTCCAGGATCTTCAACATGACCGTCAAGGAGTTCAACTTCACCGCCACAGTCCAGAACTTCTCTGACCCCATTGCGAGCAACTTCACCAGGATGGGGCAAGCGACTAGCGCAATAAACGGATGGTCTTCATGGCAAGTCGTCGGGAAACCCCTGATAACCGCTTGGGCCGCACTCTTCGACGGCCGCTTCCCGCCAATCGATCCCGCAAGACGACTCGGGTGGTTCGCATTCGACGAATCGGAAACCAACCAAACCACCTACGACGCAGCACTCGTAACCAAGAACACAGCCGTGGAGTGGTATGAGAAGGAACTCCAATACAGCACTCCCGAATCGTGTTCAGAGTCTGTAATGCTCTACGACATCGGTACCGGTGGCCTACCTTCATACCGTGAAAGGGAGCTCAACGACTCGCCTTATGCTTCTTACCTAGCTGTCACACCACCGACGGCAAAGATCACTGGTGCGGGCATATGTCCGATATTCGGGTGTGCGGATTTCACGATTCCGATTGGTCAGGTGCCGTACCGGAGTGAAGTTACGTTCCATGAGGAGATGGTGCCTGTAACCATCAATATGGTGGTGAAGAGGGGATGCGACTTTGTGCTTTACAATATGATTGAGAAGTTGGCGGATGAGGGTGTGTTGAAGACGGTCAAGACAGGGAGAACAGCTTATTGATAGTAGAGCTGGCATCGTAGAGTGAGTATGCGATATGACATGATGAATGTAATGCAATCTGGAATGACATGTTTTTTCGGCCCCAACAATTGTCCCTTGACATAAGTGGAAGCATCAGACTGTGTCGAGTCGCTTGTAGATATGCTTGGACGAAATGTGGCCGGTGTTAGCTGTCAAGAGACACCATTCCGCTTCTGAATCGACAACTGTGAACACCACCGCACTGATGGAGAGGAGATTGCCTGGTAAGGCTGCATTGCATTGTTGCGAACCAACTGGTTCAGCGCTCTGGTATCTAGAGCCGTAATGCATCATTCTAGCTTTCGAAAAGCGACCACAACGCCAAATGTAGAGTAGACAATACAATGCCCAATGTCTATAGTTCCCCCGACGCTTTTGAGATGCCGTATTGATGCAGTATTAGAAGAAGAATAAGATGCAAAGACCTGCGAGGTCCCAGGTCATGTCTGGGATTCCTCTGGGTGCTCGTGTGCGACTTTGCGCACCTGCAAGCACCCGCAACCCATCTATGATCGGTGCATGGTACACCGGTCCAGCGCGTCGAGCAGCTCGGGTCGTTCCGCCAAGGCCTGTCGCGCTTGGGTATAGCTGAACCAATTCCGATTCCGCTTGTGCTGCTCAGGCCACTGAGCTTCTTGCTTCTCGACAGTCGCTTCGAAGAAATGGTACGAGGCCTTTGGGGCCTGGGAGGTGAGCTGGTCGGGTCTGCGCTTCTCAGGAATGAGGCCGAGGTCGTAGTTGATCTTGCATATTATGCCGGCTTCTTCCCAGGCTTCGCGTTTGGCGGCATCTTGGGCAGTGGCTTCGTCCGTCTCCCAGCCGCCCTTGGGGAGCACCCATCCGTTCCGCTTGGTGGACTGGATGAGGAGCACGTAGTACTTGTCGGCAGAAAGCGGGACAACGCCGGCGACTAGGCGCTCGCCTTGGGATCCATAGCCTGCCGCCAATCAGCCGAAAGTTAAAAGCGGTGAGTAGGGAGAGATTCGCGGCACAGGTTCAGGTATTTGGGGTTCGTTGTGGGGTCTCGTGGGCAGACTTACGTTGGTTCACGCGACCGGTGCGCGACTGCATCGACAGCTGCTGGGTAGCGGCCATGTCGGCGCTGAGGTGTCTGTGAGAGACGCGATAGTATCAAGTGGCACCGCGTGTATGCGACTCGCTCGACGCGACGGCCACAGAAGTCAAGGAGGGGCTTGGTCGGAAGAGCAGAGGCGAGCCAGGCGGTGAATTGAAATGAAGCCGAGCCGACAGCGAGTGTGCGTGTGGCTTCACGGGGCAGTGGTGGGGAGCAAGTGTAAAGGGGGCGGGAGTGGTAGGCAAAAGGGCTGAGCAAGGCTCAGTCCCGCGGATGACGGGGCTGAGGATGTTGAAGGAGCCTGCGAGCAGCAAAGAAGTTCGGCATGGTGGATGGATGTTTTAGTAGGTGGTTCGGGTCAGGGACTTTTTACGTGGAAACTAAGGGCTCGCGGAAGCGTCACGCCTGTCGCCAAGCCCCGCCTGCAAGAGGAGCTTTGTCCGGGGTGCCTGCCACCCTCTGCACCGCTGCGCATATCTGCACAAAAACTGCAATCAAGCCCCCGGCGCCCTGCCAGAGAAGGCAGAGATCGAGCCGGCGCGCGCCAGACACTGGCCGTCTGCGCGCCCAGGGCGCTGCAGCGAGAGCCGGCGGGGCACGCGAGACCAGCGCGCCGCCTGCAGCCTCTCTGCCTGCCTGCCCGGCCGCTGAATGACGTACAGGCATTTAAGGGATGAATTGCCCACTAGAAAACGCGCAATTGCCCCCGTGTAGACGCTGGCCAGAGTTCGTGGTGCGCGCCCTGCACGCTGTGATACAACACCTCCGCCGTGCTGTTGAGTGTCCTGACCGACCCCGCGACCGACCGCGCTCCTCCGCCAGAGCACCATCGCAGCCCCCCTGACCGCCTCGACCGACACCATCACTCCGACGAGCCCTGATCTCCAGCAAGTGGCCGTGGACAGGGAGCTATTATTCATTCCTCTTCCGGCTGTCCTCGCTCGCCGCCGCGACGACGCTCGATTCCGCCTCGGACCACTACCCCCACCAGCTCCCACGCTTATGCTGCCCTCATGCAGTCCAGTGTGACGCCCTTCGGTATCGTCTGCTCCAACCATTTCCCTGGGTTCCGGCTCGTGCCTGTCTGGCTGGCCACCAACCCGTCTTCGCTGCTCCCAGCACTGCGGACAGGCATCTCCGGACCCTGCCATGGACGAGTTGCTAACGGTCGTTTCCAGGCTACAGTAGTGAGTCGTGCGGGTACTGCAAAGACGCATCGAATGGCAGTAGAACCGCCAATTCTCGTACGTGGATTTTCATAGTCATGCCTACTCAGTCATGGATGGATCGCCATGCCTGCAGACCGCTGTCAGAGCGGTCAAGCCTTCGCACACGAACAATGGGCGTCAATGTTGCAGCCGGCGCTTTTCCCGCCTGCATTTGATGTTCCGTTAAGGTTACCTGCGCTCACGTGCTGCCCCCGCGTCGCGTGCAATTCTGCCCGATCCCACCCATGCCTCGAGCGATGCGTCGCCGCCAAGCATCGTCTACGCGTCTGCAGACGTCGCAGAGTGTAGATCCTGCGTCGCGAGATGAATTGCATCACAGCGCATAGTCAATGCTGCCATCGCGATGGTCGCCCTGTCGTATGGGCAGGAAGCGGGGGAAATCGGAACGAGGCTGAGCGCCGAGAGCACTGGCTGACCTTGCCCGATTAGGAGCAAGCTACTACTTCTCATCGAAAAGCTTGACCGTTGAGGTCTACCAGATCCTCGTGGACCGCGGCTGGAGAAGGTAACGACCCACTCATGCGCGGCGCATGTTTGCAAGCACCTTGCATCGCAGCACTATGCCCATAACAGCAGCTGACACCGGCTTCTAGATCTGGTACCATCTTCTACAAGCCCGACGTGCTGCGACACTGCTGTCCGCACTACACAATTCGGTAAGCAGCATTGCAGAGACATCCGACTAGAGGCTTACCCGAGGTTAGTCTACCCGTCGCTTCCTTCAAGCCCTCGAAGGATCAGAGGAAGACAGTCAACCATTGGAATGACTATGTGCTAGGCGAGGCTTATATGAAAGAGGCTTCTAGGCTTTACCCAATATCGAAAGAGTGCGTAGCAACACCGTGTATTCCCTACTAGACTAACAGCTCCCAGAGAGAAAGCTCGTGTCAAGAACACGTTTGACCTCAGTCGTGAGGTGCACAAGACCGAACTCCAGAATGTCAAGCGCCCGCCTGAACCCGCACATCGCTTCGAGGTGACACTCGAACTGGCGGCCTTCACGCCCGAGAAGTATGAGTTGTTCAAGAACTATCAGCAAAACGTACACAAAGAGAAACCTCATGAGATTTCTCAGTCGGGGTTCAAGCGTTTCTTATGTGATTCGCCGTTGAAGCAGACCTCTAGAACTGTCGACGGGAAAGAGCAGCTCCTAGGATCATACCACCAATGCTACCGACTCGACGGACGACTCATTGCGATGGGCATCCTTGATCTGCTACCTCATTGCGTTAGCGGTGTCTATATGCTCTATCATTCCGATTTCGAGCAGTGGCAGTTTGGAAAGTTGAGTGCGCTACGAGAAGCGGCATTGGCGCTTGAGGGTGGTTACCAGTACTACTACATGGGATACTACATCCACTCCTGCGTCAAGATGAAGTACAAGGGCGACTACAAAACTCAGCATGTTTTAGATCCTGAGACGTACGAGTGGCATCCGCTGGATGGCGAGTTGCGCGCTCTGCTAGACAAGAAGTCCTATGTCTCGATGTCTAGGGAACGTCGCAGGAAAGAGCAAGAGAGTGATGAAGAGACGAGTGCCGCAGCAGAGCAGGATGACTACTCGGACTATCCTCTACCGACAGCTGCCGAAAGTGGCAAGGCCGTTTCCGACGGCATGTCATTGTTCGATTTGAAGGTACCAGGGCTCATGACAGCCGAAGAAATCGAACAGCAACTTGACCTGGCCACCATGCCCATCCGGGTTCGTGGACAAATGGCGGAAGCTCAGGTACGCGAGCAGCCCATGCATGAATGACTTCCAATCGATACTAACTACTTACAGGATCTTGTCTCTTGGGAGGGCAGTGATTTGAAGAACCCTCGTTCAATCAAGGGCATCATTGGCGAGATTGTCGCATGCATGGGCCCTGAGGTCGCATGGCAGGTAGTGGTACAGCTTGGATGAAGAGCATGAGATTACGAAAACCACGTCCAAACTTTATCCCACGATGCATGAAAATAGAGACCATGTAGTTCGCCTTCAATGCAGCGTCAATACAAGTCAGCTAGATGCGCAAGTTGATGCTCACATATTCCGTGTCTGGTCGCTCCCCTAATGACAAAGTAGCTGGCCCCTTTGAGCCTAGCTTGTACGTACGCCGAGGCTGCCGGTCGGAATATCGTCCACCTTAGCAAAAGTTCACGCACAACACGGCGATTGACATAGCACGCAGCCATGTCCGCGTCGCCCCTTACACTCGTCGTGCGCCCCCGTGGTATGTTTTCTCTGTTCATTGAGTTGACCCTGGCCTGGCTGAGCGTGTTCTGATTGCTGTTGGCTAACCCCTCTATAGGCCGCCCGATCAAGAATCTCCCCGAGACCATCACCGTCCCGTCCGATGCCACTGCCTCTCAGATCTTTGAAGAGATTGCAAAGGCCTCCAGGTTTTCAATTCACCGATTGAGGGTTACCAAGGGCAGCGATGGCTCGCCGATCAACAATGTGCGCGATGTCACGGTTCACGACACAGGCCTGAGGAACAAGAGTGCTGTGGATGTCAAGGATCTTGGTAAATTACATATCGTCTGATGACGAATGAGATGGCTAACAGCGTGCAAGGTCCCCAGATCTCCTGGCGAACCGTCTTCATCGTCGAATACCTCGGACCCCTCCTCATCCACCCCCTCATCTACTTCGCCCGCTCCCTCATCTATGGCACCTCGGCGCCCCCCTCGCAGCTCCAGAAGCTTACCTTCCTCATGTGCGTCGCCCATTTCGCAAAGCGCGAGTTCGAGACCCTCTTCGTCCACCGCTTCTCGTCGGCCACGATGCCCATCATGAACATCTTCAAGAACAGCGGCTACTATTGGATCCTCTCGGGCTTCAACTTGGCATACTGGAGCTATGGCCCTAACAGCCCGGCTGCTAAGCCTTCGAATCCGCTCCTGACATATCTCGGCGTTGCCCTATTCGCAATCGGCGAGGTCTGCAACTACAGCACACATCTGACGCTTAAGAACTTGCGCCGTCCAGGCAGCACTGAGCGCGGTATCCCTAGGGGACTCGGCTTTGATCTAGTCACATGCCCCAACTACATGTTCGAGGCAATGGCTTGGATCGGCGTGGCCCTCGTCAACTGGAGCTTGAGCACCGTCATTTTCATCATCGTGGCTGTCGGCCAGATGGGTGTTTGGGCCTGGAAGAAAGAGAAGAGGTATCGCAAGGAGTTTGGCGACAAATATAAGCGCAAGAGGTACGCCATCTTGCCCGGCATCTGGTAGAATGACGCATCAGGCGATGGGTACCGTTTCATTGAGGAGGCTGCACTTGACAGGTGCGTGGTGCTAGGGGGGAGGCTTTGCGCACATGGGGAATGCGAGAAGAGAGCCAATTGAAGACAAAGAACAATATATGAGTAACAACAGAAGCCGCTAAGGCTGCGGCGAGGCGGACTTGTAGAACTACAAGACGTAGGCCGTCACACCCACTCAAAACGGTGACACCTCCGCAGGTACCCGTAGCTAATGCGCCGATGCCTCTGGCCAGCTGAATCACACTAAAGATGTTCGTCACTTCTTGCTGAAGGACCTTTGGTGACAGATCTCGATGTAGCTGCGTGATGAGTTTACGTCTGTCCTTGACTCATTTGTGCACCTCAATATATTGACAAGGCCTGTGACATTGAGTGTGTGCTCGATTCTGATTCCCGGGTACAACCATCATCCACACCACTACCCAATGTTTTGCTTTTTTGTCGTGATGGCTTGTTGGATCTGCCCGCCCGGCGGCCACTCCCATATCGCCCCGATGAACGCCGAACAAACCCTGCATAAGCGCGGGAAGAGCATGCCACCCACCTGCCATCTCCCCACCCACGTATTTCCCAAAAGCACGCTCACCGACACTCATAAGCAAGTGAGGCTCGACCGACCTGCAAATCACGCTCAATATCTCGCTGCCTGCAAGAAACTGCCTGCAAAAAGGCAGATCGAGGCTGAGAGGATGCGGGCCCTCATTTCTGCCTACCAGCGGTCAGCCAAACAACCCAGCCGGCAAGCCCGTTCGTGATCAGCCCTAGCCTTAGCCGCAGCACTACCTCGACCTGCCGAACTGGCTAATCAACTACTCTCCATTGGCCATTTACCGTGTTTGGGCACGCCGGGCCGCGGCTTACGATGCCCAGGTGGGAGAAGAGGACCTTTCTTCAGCTGTGACGGGCTGGGCTGGGTGGCGCTTTTTGATTTGACGATCCCCGGTGAGAACTAGAGGGACTGCTAGCTTCAGCCGCAGTTACGCATCTGGTCGTGTGAGGACGCGTGTATAAGAGGACTGAGGCAGGAGCCATTGTGGGACGAACAATAGCCTCACTCCCATTGTCCTCTTGTGCTGAACCATTTCGATCGTTCTGTTAGCGTTTGATCTGGTGTTGCGCACATATACCCCTCGTTGCTTTTTCTTTGGCTGGCTGCGCGGTCTTCGGCTTGAACTACTTGCATCTGCAAGGCTGGTCGTCACGTTCCTGCCTGTCACATCTCGTTCTTGCTACTTCGAGTAACGGGCGAGATCGTTGGACATCGTGACGTCGATTGCAGAGGCGGTAAGAGTACACAAGCGACCTCACAAGATACTCTGTGTTGCGTACCTAACAAAGCAACTACTCGCTGAACGGTGTTCGACTGAATGTAAGCCCAACGGTATCTCTTATTTACTCCTTCTGCTATCACTCCCATCTCCTTTTGTAGCTCCTGTCTTTCTGGTTGGATGCACCTACCATTTCCAGATCTTCGAGCAAGATGAGGCTTCCAGATTGCCCGCCAAGAAAACTGTCCCTTCTCAACCCAGTCGCAAGATCAGATCTAGCCGAGAGAATGCCACTAACACAACCTTCCAGCTTACCCAAAGATATGGCTGCAATAACAGCAGATGCGAAAGCGGCATGGGATGCCCATGTCGATACCCGCACAGGAGCAGAGCCTCCAAAACCAGCTGACCCATCTGAGATCAGCACACTCAGAAACAAAATCGGCAATTCCTTCAAAGCAGCAGCAGCTTTGCTAGGCGCAGCAGCAGCCCCGATTCCCGACCAGACAGGCGACGGCTCCAAGATTGCCCCAGAAGAGAAGGCTAGCTTGTACAAGAAGATTGAGGGCAGTCTTCGCGATATGTCTCACCTTGGTGTCGACAATATCCAAAGTCTATTGGAAATTCAGAAGGAGAAGATGCTTGGTGGCTATACTGACGACAAGACTTACCTGATGGAGGGTCTTATCCGGACCGCCGCCAAGCTGCCTGACGGATCCAAAACTAGGGACGCAGTTACAGGCAATTTCCTAGAGCAGCTGTGGAACGACTTGCAACACCCACCGCAGTCGTACCTCGGAGAGAAGTTCCAGTATCGATCCGCAGATGGCTCTAACAACAGTCTTGTCAACCCCCAAGTGGGCGCAGCAGGGACACCATATGCTAGAACAGTCAAACCATCTCAGATGCAGACCCCCGCGCGCCCAGATCCGGGTGTCGTATTCGACAGCATCATGACCAGGAAGCATGCAGAACTGCATCCCAACAGGATCTCGAGCATGCTGTTTTATCTGGCATCTATCATCATCCACGACTGCTTCCGGACGAGCCACGAGGACTTCGCCGTTTCCATGACATCTTCTTACCTCGATCTATCGCCCTTGTATGGAAGCAATCAGGCCGAGCAAGACATGATGAGGACCGGACGCGATGGAAGGATCAAGCCTGACTGCTTCTCAGAAGCGCGATTGTTGTTCTTCCCTCCTGGTGTAGGCGCCATGTTGATCATGTTCAACCGTTTCCACAACTACACTGTCGAGAACCTGGCCGCGATCAATGAACAAGGGCGCTTCAAGAAGCCTTCAAATGAAGCGCCCCAACCCACTGGCGATGCTGAGGCCGACAAGAAGGCAAAGGACAAGTACGATGCAACATGGAAGAAGTACGACAATGATCTGTTTCAGACTGGTCGTCTCATCACCTGCGGCCTTTACGTCAACATTATTCTGATCGACTACGTCCGCACCATTCTGGATCTCAACCGCACAGATAGTAACTGGCAGCTGAATCCCCGCGCTGAGGTAGCGAACCTACCCATGGGTGTTGGCAACCAGGTCTCGGCTGAGTTCAACCTCGTTTACCGATGGCACTCTACAGTGTCCGATCGCGACGAGAAATGGACGCAGGAGATGTGGGACGGTATGTTTGGCGAAGGTCGTGATCCCAAGTCTATCAGCAAAGGCGAGTTCCTTGGTACCTTGAACAAAGTTTACAGCAAGACCGATCCGGATCCATCGAAACGCAAGTTCGCTAATCTGGAGCGAAGCGAGTCCGGAACCCTACCTGACCAAGGCCTTGTTGACATCTTGACATCAAGCATTGAAGACTGTGCCAACTCTTTCGGGCCAAACAGAGTTCCCGCTGTTTTCCGTGCTATCGAGGTTCTCGGTATCGAGCAAGCACGTAGCTGGAACTTGGGCTCGCTCAACGAGTTCAGGAAATACTTCAAGCTCGAGCCGCACAATACTTTCGAAGACATCACATCCGACAAGTACGTGCAAGAACAACTCAAGCACCTCTACGACCATCCCGATAAGGTTGAAATCTACCCTGGCATCGTTGTCGAGGATGCGAAGCAACCCATGGCTCCAGGTTCCGGTCTCTGCCCAGGGTACACCGTCTCTCGTGCTGTCCTCTCAGACGCGGTAGCGTTGGTGCGCGGCGACCGATTTTACACTCACGATTACAACCCGCGCACATTGACTAATTGGGGCTACCAGCTTGCTGATAGCGATCTTGGTGTTGACAATGGATGCGTCTTCTACAAGCTTTTCCTGCGCGCTTTCCCACAGCACTTCAAGTACAACAGCGTGTACGCACATTACCCTCTAACGGTTCCCTCCGCGATGAAGGTTGCTCTCACCGATCTGAAGAAGGACAACTTG